GGAATTGATACGAACGACATTCAATTCTTTCGCATTTTTAAAAAGACTATTTGTCATTTTCCTTCTAAGACGTACACAACATCACCCCCAACCCCCTCTCGGCCACGATTCTTTTCCTCCTCCTTTCCAATGGGCGATCTCTTCATACCACGCCTTTAGTTCTGAAGATGTCATCTTGAGAATCCTCTCACGGGCGGTTCCTCGGCTGTTCCCGTCTTGTTTCTTATTTCGGTTAATGCGGATGCTGAGATCGTCTTCTGTTTTAGTTTGTATCTGTCTACCCAGGGGGAGGGTGAGCCATTTCTTAGCGAGTAAACCACCCTCCTCGAATCTCGTTTAGCGTTTTGCTGAGGCGATAATTGGGGCTCAGAATTATTCGGTAACGTGATCGGTTCCGATCGTAGACTGCTGTTTCGTGAAGTTGCTGTACGAGAGAGTACTGCTCCGTCGTATGATGGAGGAGCGTTTGGATTAGGAACAAGTTCTTCGAGAGTTACGTCCTGATGAAGAGAATTAAGAATTATTGAATGGAAATATTACAAAAGGTATAAAAAATTGCTAAAGCCTTAAAGCAAAACGTCGATTTTCTGTCAATGTGTGAATTACTCTCTGTTATTTGCGTTTTCCTGCTTTTGGTCTCCTTTGCATGCCACCACTCAGTCAGTCAGTCCGTGTATAATTCGATTAGTTGGACAGTTAAGGGAGCCATTTGCTTTGGTTGATGCGTCTCCCAATTACTGTAAGTTAGATCTGCTGTCAGTCATTCAATGCCTCTAAAACATTTGAGTTTCAGCTGGGCATAGGTGTGCTTTGAGTTAAGTTGACCTTCTCTTAGTAAACAACTTAACTCTCTCACCGTGTTTACTCCTATATATCGCTCTGACGAAGGGCTAACGCTCGAAACGTCAGCTTTTTTACCCTTTACGGTGGCTAATTTACGTTTTCAACCCAGTTGTTAACACTAAATTACCTGCTTTACTCCTATATACTTGATTCAATAAAAATTTTCCTACATCATACTTACATCACCTTAAGCTTAGTTTCGTGATTTTAAGTACGTATATAAAACAAAAAACAGTGCTAAGAGAATAACTTTCGTCGATTTAGATAAGATACAAGCTCCGCCAAATGAGTTAGTATTGAAGGGTTTTTCTTTCTTTTGCGAAAATGTCATGAAAGGCATTATGATAAGAAAGAGGCCATTAAACTCAAGATGAATCCCAGATATTAATCAACTTCTGTGATACTATGAAGTTACGCCTTGGCCGGCGGAAAACACGGAAAGACATCGTAAACACAATGATGGTTTAATGAACCGCATATATATACGTTTACCTTACCGTTCTTTCCGCCTCAAGTTGTTTTATTTTGTTTTATTTTTCTGAGATTTGAACTAGTTCGCCATGATATTCACAAACAATACGCAAACATATTCTCAGTCGTCGAGAAAAACGGGAGAAAGAAGCATGCAAGCTTCTGTTACAAAAGTCATCTCTGGGGGTTTTAATTAACATGAATGACCCTCAAAAAAACATTCCGTTCGGTTCTAGTCTAAACACCTGCACCACCATTTTGTTTATCTTTCTTTTTTATCGAAAAATTTCCATAACTGATTTTTTTTCCTCGATAGAGGTTTATTCGGAAACTTTGACAAAAGGGAGGCAAAGTAATAAATGGGGCGGCCGTTTCTTTTCTTTTTTCTTTTTTTCTTAACACTTTGATCTGTGTTTTGATGAATTCAAAAACAACTAGCCATAGCTGTCTTTAAATGCCATGTCAACATAAGGATGGCTTTTAGGTAAAAAATACTGACCTTTCAAAAGTTTAAAAGCTCGGAAGCATAAATTTACGATATCAAATTCCTTTGAGTAAGTGAAGAATGTTTATGCACTTTAAAGTGAAACACCTTTTCAACTATCTTTTATAATAAGTAAAAACTCCAAATATTGGTCTCACTCAGTTTTCACAACAGATCCTTACTAAGTTGAAATTTCAACTCCACGGACGGATACTAAAGTTTTATTTTCGACAGAAGCAACTGTTTCCCTTCAAAAATTATCTGAATTTCAACACATAAAAAGGGTTAACGTAGATCCCTAGTTCCTTCACCCGTTAATTATCAAAACAATAATTCGCAATTGACAAAAAGTCTTAACAGAAGCCCATAGCTGAGAACCTTCCCCTGCAGAGACTTTTCCCTTCCACGGACAACACGCAATAATTCCGGTCATGGACCAATGACTTTTTTGCTGTAGTCTTAAATGGTGTTAAACCCGCGAACTGAGTTGGTTAACGGCAAAATTTAAACTATCCGTAATTTAGCCTCGTTAATCGGTCAATACTTTCAAAATGTTGGCAACAAGAAGATTTTTTCAGGTCATTAAAGGGTTTGAAACTGGTTCTTGCACTCAGAAATAACATAAGGTGTCCCATGGCAACTTCGATTAGCGAGTTACATCAAACAACAATAGAAAAACGTAACTTGCCGGAAAAAGGGAAAAATTGAAACTAACTCACTTGTCCTTCCTTGTAAGCGTTTGGCAAAGCCATTGATGTAGACCTGACCTTTGACGGGAAGAAACCATTAAAGATGCGTTTGGGTTTGTGCATGGGACGAATTTCCTGGAACGATTTCAACGTGTTAAAATCTATGATCTTGGGACAGCTAAATTGTCTTTTGTTCCTTGTTCCTAGTATTCTGGATTCAGTTAGGCGGTTGTTACCGATTCGTGTTTGTCTACCGTCTAGAACCACTCCGGACTTAGTTGTTACGTTATTAACGACGCTTGCGATTGTTGGACAAAATCGTCTCTTGTCGCCGACAAATATCTTGTCCTCTAGGCTTGGGAAAACGATTATTTTCAAAGAAGTCACCGGCTCCATGTCTCAGGGATGAACTATTCGAAGAAAACTCCGTGGAAATAGTTTTTCCTTAGAAACATGGACTCCCACATAGCTTAACAACAAGCGTGTCTCGTTAGGAAGAGAGGTGATTAAGTGATTCACTCCAGCCACTTGACATAAACTCTGTTATGCAAAAGACTTATTGAAGAAGGATTTAGTCAAGCCGGCTGTCTTCCCGTAATGAGAAAGCTAGAAGCCAATTAAAACCCAACAAGATTATTCCCATGTGGACTAAATTATTATCTTAAGGGTTTGACGTAAAGGTTATTATTGAAAAGAAACAAATAAATGCTGCTTTTTCATTAAGTGAAACGAAAAAGCTTCTTTCAGTTGAGCCGTAATAAATTATTTTCACACGCTGCACAAACCTCAAAATGCAAGGTTTCCTTGTGTATTTTGCTGCGCGTTACTCTCTCTGGCTTGAGCTCAAGATAAATAAGTAACATTTGCTAGTACACGCGAACAAATAGTATGATAATGATAGCTAAATGATTCCACTTCGCTTTTGTTGGCTGGGATTAGCGAATTAGAAGATCATTGAAATTTATGCAGATATTTTCTTTAGCCGTGCCGACTTTTGGTTTCTAAGTGGCTTGTTTTCCTAGTCAAGCTCGATTTTTACGGAACTAAATCGCTGAAAGAAAGAGTAAACCCATAAAAATTGCGTCTTCAAGTGTGCTAAGTTTTACTTTTAAGCTAAAAGGTCTCGTTGGCTGCAGTTCTTGATTCATGTAAAATTTCATTAGAATTTCACGTTGTTCGAACTGTAAACAAAGCTTAAAGCTTGTTACGAGGGTTATAATGCGCAAATAGAGAAGTCTATTAATTACACGTGATATTGCACTGAGACAACTGAGAACCCTCTCACAAAAAGTAAAGTTACTGAAACGACAATGCCACTGATGATCTGTTTTCAAACAGTCAAAGGATGATTACAGTTCACTGCCTTAAGGGGCACAGATTTAGTTATCCTTTTCTTTTAGGTCTGGTGTGTTAGTTGTCAAACTTCATTTTTCGTAATTTTGAACGAAATAAAAACCAGCGCGTTCACTATACTTACAAATTTTCAGCTTGTCTCATCGCTCACAATCTGTATGCCTCTTAAATTGCTGTCAAGACTTTCTTGTGGACAAACATCAGGTATTAAAACTGAACGAGAGTAAAATCTTCACTACGTAATCGTGGGCTTATAAAATCGTGCGTCTAACTCGTAAAAACCAAGTGAAAAAGCCGAACATGACGTGATGAGTACAGAATCATGAACTGACTAAGCAACACAAAAAAATCAACAAAAACAAGCGCTTATTGACTAACTGCCTAATCAATGACAGTTTACAGCCTCGGCATTGACTCCACAAGGCTTTGAAAGCGTCGGCTCAGCTTTTTAGCCTCGAGGCCTGAATCAAACGGAAACACTTTTGACCCACTTTTGTAGTCAAGAGAGGTCAAACGGGAACAGTGACAACTTCAACGTCTACTTATAAAGGGAAATAATTCACGCCTAAAAGTTATACGTCGATGGAACGTCCAGTCGCGTCCATGAGAAAACGTGCAAGGCAATAATTAGTACTGTGTACTGATTGCCGTTTCAGGGATAAAGAATCTATTGTGATTTAATGTCAGTAAAATCTGGTCCTGAAACTGACGGAGAGCGAGAGAGATCATGTTTTTCGATCAAAGTTTACCCGAGTTTTTGTACTGCCGAAAGTTTTTTTTTTTTTTCCCTTCCACTTCTATTATTTGCCCCGGGAAGGAAGTCCCAAATATAAATGAAGAGGTTGAACACCGCACCTACATCGGCTGTTATAATCGCCGATCTTGTTCCGCTTCTGTTAATTTAAACTAAAATGACTACCTTTGGAGCTCCCGTAATTGCCTCTTGGTTGTATGGTGAAAATTGATGGAGACACCCAGTTGAAACCTTTCAGGGGTAGCTTTAAACATTTTAGATGATAACTGCTGTTTACGACTATTAAAAAGAAGAAGCAAGTAACTAACTGGATTGACGAGAATTTCAGAATAAAAAAAGAATATATTTAAAAAATACCGAGAAGATAAACGCTGGTTACAAACAAGGTACACGAAATTCTGTAAGATGCACAAGCTCCTTCAACAAGTTCATTTTGTTTTGAAGACGCTCAGCCGTACAACTTGGGGAGTCTCTCACATCTTTTTTTTACAAAGGCAAACGACTACTTAAACTAAAGATCAACACCTTTTTCTGACGGCTTTCTGTATCTACAGTTTAAGAGTTTTCAAGAAAGCTGCTTTCGTGATTATTCAGTGTCTAATGACGAAATGCAATCAACTTCTTTTAAATAACTGTTACAGCATGGCATAGACTATAAACAATAAAATGTTAGACAAAAATTTCTGATGCGAAAGCCACTTTGGCCCAACTGGCTGAACTAGAGACAAGGTATTTGAGGTATTGGCTGGAAAACAGCGTTAAAACTTTCCAGAAACATGAGATTACATAAATGATTTTGATCTGGGGAAAAACAAAAGACAAATGACTAATTAGTAGAGATGCGAGCACAAATTAAGTCAAACAGGAGTAAAAGGACTCTCAAATCATGATTGCTTGTTTTCTTAATTTATACTTACCAAGTTTAATCCAGTCCAAGATGCATGTACTATTTTTTTAGTCTTCTGGTCTGTGTGGTGGGTTGCCACAAGGCTGAACCATTTTCTTAAACAAAAATTGCATGATAATTTTGGCAAACTGGCAAATAATAAAATAATATTTATCTAACATCTGAACAAAAGAATTTTAAGCTTAAGAGCAGTAGAGTCAATACAGTGAGATTGTGATGTCATTAACATAAGT